GAGCCGACCTCCACCCCGCCGAAGTAGGGGCCAATGTTGGATGCGAATCCTGGCCTGCCACATGTCATGATCCAAAAGGTGAGTTAGATGAACACGCGGACGAAATATAGAAAGTGGCTCCAAAGTACTCAGGTCGGCAGACAGGGTAGGACCTAAAGCGCCGAACCGACCTGAGACAAAGTCCGTAATAATGTTCCTTCCGTACCTGACAACACGCCGCGATTTTAGGGTGTGTCAGAACTCCTGTCGGGCCTAGTTTCTATAAATAGAAACCTTAGCCTTAAATGCAAGGTACGCAATCCTAGGTAGACTCGGCAAGTTAGCTCGGACCAGAACTGACTTGCTCGTCGGAGTGCTAACTTTGTTTTGCAGGCTCGAGAGTGTTCAGAGGGGGTGCTGGGCAGTTGGCTGTAGTTCGTTCTAACCGTTCCGATCTACTTCGTACCCGAGCTCACCAAATTCGAGCTCAAACAGTATGTATCAATTTTGCATTAATCTTCAAGAATAAAAAGAGATTCGATAGAGCTACAAAATAGAAAGGTTACACACTGGTGTGGTGCTAGCCACACATACTCCGATACTTAAGTCAGAATCAGGTTTTAATGTGAAGCATCACAATAGGAAGGATTGTTATAGCGTACCTTGATTGTGAGATTTATTTCTTTATTTATAGATGTCAAAACGCTAGGTTCAACAGGCTATCTTCTCTTTTAAAATAGTTCGGACTTTGTAGATGTCATCATTACGGGTCAGACAATACAAGAAAATGGGAGTCGGTCCAGGCTTATTGGCAGAGCATGAAACCTGGCAGCCTGGACATGGTCAACCGGGACTTGGCTGGTCGAGACCTTGCTAGGCCCTGGATCTGGTCACTCTTTGGGTCCTACACCTAGTCACGTCCTGGATTTGGTCATGCTTTGGGTCTTGGAACTGTGATGTTGTTCGCCTGTCGAATCTAGTTTCGTATTCCCATAACAAGGAGTATTGTGTAATTTTACACAAAAGTGATGTATGCAAAAAGTTTAGAAATCTTGGATTTTCAAAATAAGGGTAAATATCAATTTCTCTCATGGAAAAAAGGCTACATAGCCCAATTTCCCCTCCCTCTCTTTGCACTCCACTTCCCCCTCAATTTCTGTCTACTATTTTTTCCCTTCATTTTCTTTCAAAATATTTTATCTTCGTCTTTACAAATTCCACTTTTCTCAAATTAATTTTCTCTCTCTCTTAATCCTTTCATATATTTGTTGTCATCCACTCTTAGATTAATTCTTTCTCCACCCATCCAAATTCCTTGCACAAATTAACTCACCGAAATAATCCTTTATCTATTCCTCTCTCTCTTGTCTTCTAAAATTCTATTTCAATTAATTTTTTATTTAAAATGTTAGAATATAAAAAGGTTTACCATCTATTTAATTATAGAAAATTAAAAGGCAGTAGAATCTCGAAAATTTTGCCAACCTCTCCCTTAAGCATAATTATAAAATAACTATTTTCAGTTATTTCCAATCACAAAGTAATGTTTATTTCTTTATTCTTCTTCTTCTTTTTTTTCTTATTTCTCTCTCACAATCTTTTTGTTTCAAAGATTTATTAATCTAGATCACGTTCCAATTTTTTAAAGCAGTGTTGTTGGCGATATCCCATTTCGAACTTTTTAGAGCAGTGTTGGCTAGAATAAATATTATTTATTTATTCTTCTTCTTGACTTTTCTCTTTCACAAATTTTTAAAGGTTTCTTAATTAATCTAGTCGATCACGATCCAATTTTTAGGAGTAGTATTGTTCAGCGTCTTTGAAATTGGTTAGAGATAAAAATATATACATAATTTATTAGCGAATATCATTCATCATATTTACATATTCAAAAGATAAGTTTGATTATTGAAGACTTTTTTTTGGACCACTAATCTTGGTCCTTTTAATAATGTAAATATGGACAAAAGAAAAAAGATGCTAGCATAAATATTACTACGTATTAAGAGCTGATATTTATTAAAAATATGATTATTTTGAGTAATTAGGTAAGAATGGTTTTAAGCCTATTAACATTCTCAATACATACATGTATGACTAGAATATGAAAAGATTGACTATTGACAACCATGTGAAAAATTAGAATATAAAAGTTTTGTTCATTTATTTCTAAAATTTAAAATACTAGTCCTTATAATTTATTTGATCATGAATTAAAATTAAAATCAACGATGAATTTATCGATTTATATTAAATAGTTAAAAATTTTGTGAGTATTAAATTCAAGAATTCTAGTCCTACATAAACTTTTAAAACAAAAATAGTAACAAAATTAATCATAAAATATATTTTTCAATCATAAAGTAACCCTAAAAAATCTACCTAAGAGATTGGTACATACATATTTTAAACTTTAAAAAAAAAATTGAGGGGGAAGAAGACACAATATAATTGTGGAGAAGACATAATTTTTGGAGGAAAAAGTAAAAGAGATATGATCTTTATATAACTGTAGAAGTAAAAAAAGAGAGTTGTATAACTATTAACATTTTGAAACCTTTGGAACTAATTATAATTAAAGGTCTAAGTCATAATTAAAAAATAAAAAATAGCAACATTATAGTATATATATATTGTATGCGTTGTACTAACATATAGATATATATATATATATTTTGTATGCAATATGAAAAGTACGAGGCCTTATAGAACTGAAGGCCTTAAACAATCACCTTCCTTATCTATATTTTAGGTCGGATCTGCTCTCACAAATCATTATCATTGACATTGGATGTAGTGGACTCAAATTTCATATCCCTATATCGAAGTTTCTTTAATTCATACATTGAAAATCTAAGTTGATGATGTAGAAGACATAATTTTTCTTTTTTTCCTGAAGAAGCAAAAAGAACATATACTTAGATCTTATGCAGGACTTCAATCTCTAATTGACAACCATTCCTTTAGTGAACATGTAAAATGTGCCAATCTGTTAAAATATTTACAGTGATCCAATATTTAAGATTTTACAATTATTTTACTTTTAGTTTTATTATTCATAAAAATCGGACATTTTTTTTTGGTTAAGTACTATAAATATCTTATAAGAAGTATTTATACCTATTTTCCTTGTTTATAAATCCAAAGTTAATTTTCAAACCTGGTCTAAGATTTCAAAATATTATTTAAATTAAATCGTCGTTAATAAATAAACATAATCTTCAAAATTCGGCTAAGATTTAAAAAAAATTAATTATTTTTTCTTATTGCAAAGGAATTTTAAACTAAATAGTAAAACAAAGATAAACGAGGATAGATAAACACAATCTTGAAATTTTGTCTAGGATTTAAAAATATTCTTTAAATTAAATTCTAAAACAAGGATAAACATTAATAAATAAACGTAATTTTCAAAATTTGTCTTCGATTGTAAAACGAAGACAAACGTTAATAAATTAACATAATCTTAAAAAATTGAAAGCCAAATTCAAAAACCATCATCAAACTGGTTTTGAAATTTGAACTTGATTTTCTTTACGATTTTAGAAGAGATTTACCACTTACAACCATGATTTGATGGGAGGGAGGAAGAGAGAGGATTTTGAAACCCAAATTTGAAAACAGTTCCTTTATTTTTCCACCATGAACTGATTTGATTGTAGAGGAACACTGAAAATCAATTTTTCCCACTCTTAAAAGTGGCTCTGGCTTTGCGAATTTTCGTTGAAATTCATTCATCGGCGTCGTTTCCACACAAAAAAGAGAGCAAAAAGAAACCCGTAAAATCTTGTAAGAACCAAGTTTCGTCTTCTTCAAATGCTCCTCTTCAACGGTACCCCAATCCTATTGAGCCATTTTCTCAGTAATCTACACAAAAAACCCATTTCATTCTCCCGCAAATTTGAAGTCCCGCCCATGAAATTTTCCAAGTTCCTCATCCTCTTCCGCGACCCATAGCAAAACCCAGTTGCCTCTTCTCCAGTCAACTGGTTGCTTTTGTTGTGCTTTCGGATTATGGATTTTGACGATTTAAGCCCCAATCAGTGCCGCCTGATCGGAAACTACATATTGGGGCCGAGAATCGGGTCGGGTTCGTTCGCCGTCGTGTGGAAGTCGAGGCACAGGCAGTTGGGCACGGTGGTCGCCGTCAAGGAGATTGACAAGAAGCATCTTAATCCCAAAGTCAGTGACAGTTTGCTCAAAGAAATTTCTATTCTCAGCACTATCAATCACCCCAATATCATCCGCCTCTTCGAAGCCATTCAGGTGGATTGTTGATTAGTCTCCCCTTTCTCTTTTCTGTTCGTCTACTATTTGTGATTTTTGAGCGTTTGAATGTTTCTTACTGAAGTTTGCTCTTGTTCTGATCGATTTGCAGACTGATGATAGGATTTTTCTTATTTTGGAATACTGTGATGGTGGTGACCTTGGGGGTTATATTAATCGCCATGGAAAAGTATCTGAAGGGGTTGCCAGACACTTTATGAGACAATTGGGTATGTTATGTTGTGTTTTACTCTGCCTTCAATTGGTCCGTTGAGGTTTGGGATTGTAAGCAAAGTGTATGAGTTTGTGGAACTTAATTTTGTTTTGTGATTATCAATGCCTTCAATAATTTAAGGAGTTATTGTTTCCAATGAGTGTGTCTAGCTAGTATCTTCTGTTTAGTTTCCTATTTTTGCATCTTTTCCTCTGTTGGATGTTGTTTTACTCTGCTTTTATAGTTGGAGCTTCAAATAGGAAAAAAGTTGATTTTATGTGATGGGTGTGGGTGTTATGTGCAGCTGCTGGCTTGAAAGTTCTTCAAGGAAAACACCTCATTCATAGAGATTTGAAGCCTCAGGTATTCTGCTTTAAACTTAATTTAGAGCTTTAAATGTTTTGATATTTTCCATCGTCTTGCTGCAATGTGGCTGTTGAATGTGAGCTCAATGTAATTTATGCTAGTTTTTGGATGAATGACTTGGTCTTAACCTTCTAAACTTTTATTTTTGTACATGAATGATTTTATCTGATAAAATTGTATGTATGATATTGAGATGAAATATTTTGACCCTTTTATCTTCTTTTCCTTTTTCTTGGCTGAATTTGCAGAACTTGCTGTTGTCATCTGACGAAGTGACTCCGGTCCTGAAGATTGGAGATTTTGGATTTGCAAGGTGGGATTGTCAGTGCCAGTATTTAGACATTTTTTGATTTGTTTTTCTACTTCTGCAAAGGGAATCTTGATTTTGCAACATGTATTGTTTATCGAAGTGTTTTCGTTCATGAATTTTACAGTTTCTTGATTGTAGAAAAAATAAAGCCTATTATTAGCATATTAAGAGTGGCCTAATAAGAGCCTACTCTGGCTTCTCTTTAAGGGTGCGGAAAATTTGTCTAGTTCTATATGTTTCTGTCATAATGATGTCATCAAGGAACCCTGGATTTCATTATGTGAAACAACATTGAACTTTTTGTTCTGGCTAGATGTGTAATCTGACAAAATTCATATTCTGCCTGGTCCGGTCTGAAGGTTTTAGCTGATAATATTGTTGCAAATCTGACAAACAGATTACATAACTATACTGGTTGCAGTAACTTGTATTGAGATTTCTAAACCTACGTCTATGCATCACAAAGTCAAGTTTACCTCACTAGAAATAGTTTTTTTCTTGTGCGGACATGTTGGCAGTTTCGTTTTTCTTTTCCATTTTAATCAAGTGAACAGATGGATGGGTGAAGTGAACTAACTTATTTTTTTCTCAGGTCCTTAGCAAATCAGGCGTTGGCTGACACACAATGTGGTTCACCCTTGTATATGGCTCCAGAAATTATTCGGAACAAAAGATATGATGCCAAGGTGATAACACAACATAGAAATTGCTATCCTATTCTTAAAATACTTGTTTAATAGCCTTTTGTTTTGGAAAATTTAGCTTATAAATACAACTTCCACATTTCTTGGTTTTGT